TGTGAAAGTAAACCACTAGTGTCTTTTTGTGCAGTGGCTGGCAATTTGCTCGAATTACCTGATGACATTGTGAAGGAACTAAGTACGGATCAAAAGTATGTATGAAATGTGTCATGCTGTGACGACTGGTTCTTGTTCCCCTGAGTTAGCCAGCCGCCAACCTGGAAAAATGGCGCATTCAAGATGGCTAACTACTGCCAATCGCATACTCAGACTTTATGTAAGTATTGTTTCGCCATCAAATAATTTAAAGCTGCTTGTCAATTATGTGGTCAAAGTTTATGCTCCAGTTTGGTTCCTCATTAAGAAAACTCATCATTCAAAGATGGAGCCAATCATATTTTTCGAATGGTTACATACTCCCGATTTTTGCCTGATAAGCAAAGATCTATTGTGAATTCAGTGATCGAGAGAAATGCTTTTTTTGCTCACCCTGAAAACTTACTTGTTACCATGCTATTCGACGACAGAGAGCATATTCGAGAGCTTGCAGCTCGCAAAATATTAAAGGCAAGAGAAGCAGAAATAGGCAATACTCGCAGGGTATTTAAAGTACCAAAACTTAACTTCGATGCGCGATATTACATCGATTTGATATTTTGGCAAGAGTGTGAGATATCCGCTCCACCGATTTTGCGACAGATGTCCGACGACGAACTGAGATTTAAGGCTAAAGAACAAAGCTTCGATGTTATTGATTTCCCCTGTCATACACAATCAGTGGAAAGATGTGTAAAGCTAGTGACGGAGGCTTCTCTAAGTGTCACGGACGCTACAGCTCGGGATGGTTTAATCAGAAACAGATTAAAATCTCGCGCGGAAATGCCTAATTTTGGCCACAAGAACCAATTTCGTATTTGAAATAAGCACTAATTATAAGTATTTAAACTTTACTGAACATTACCTTATGTCTTTGTAGTACCTATAAATTTGATTAAAACCTTTAAAACATTATTTTTGTATCATTTATAGTTTATGTTCGAAACCTCTAAAATTGGCAAATTTGAAAAACTTCTAGGATCGGTAGAGGCCTAAAGATGACAAATATTTAATTAAATTTTGTTATATTTGTAATCTATTCACAAAAACGCAACTTTTGATACCTCTTGCGTAGCCGTCGCTTTAAAAAAAAAATCCCATACATTGACGGGACACCCTAATGACCAACCTTAGAGGACTAGAGGCTCAATAAGAAGAACGAAATTATATTTTTTTAAAAGGTTTAATTGTTAGACTGATATTTGTTCTTAAATACATAGTATATGTAAATATTTTAAGATAATTAATATTTAGAATACTTTTTATAGTTTTGTAACAGCTAAACGTTTCGTATTTTTAAGGTGTGTTGTAAAATTATACTTTTTTACTCGTATGTACTCCAATATTAGAAGTATTCAAGATGTCATGAAACAGATTGACAAGAAGAAGCGTTTACGCCTGTATCCCCGAAGGGATAGGATAGGTTTTTTTATTTAATTTTTAGTTTATTTACTCATGTTACTTATGTTTACTATTATTAGTTTATCTATTAACCGTCCATAGTAACTGGCAACTAATGAAATCACTTAAGAACTTAGCTAACAGCTTCACAAGGGAGTCCAGTTTATTTAGTAGGTCAATTACTGTCGCCGTCCGACCCACGTGTAGATTCTCATTAAATTACGTACTGAAACGTTCACCGACTTTGATCAAAGGGACGCAAGCCGTTTGAGAAGTGCATCCTGTGCACCATATTTGTATTTGCATTCTGTATAGGCGTCTAATTCCACCTTCTCTGCTGTAAAGTTTATAAATATGAGTCAAACCTCTTTTAGATTAAACTTGATAGATCCAGGTTTAAATGATTTTGTAAACACGATTTGATGAATGGATGCTGATTTGTGTTAATCTTTTGTTATCTTGAATGAATGAATGTTATCTTGTGATTAAGATGAAATTTGCTATACATAGATTGTATTATTTACATTAAAACATAAGATTCTCTTTATGGTGGTATACGGGGCTTAAACGAGTGTAGCCGCAGACAAAAGCTAAGTAGTTTAGTTTAAAGTGTAATTTTAAGCACCTAAACTACTTTAATACTGTTCTTGAAGATACGTCTATATAATAATTTAGGGAAAACCTACATCGTATTGTATTAAAATATTTAAATCTTATGTTTTACAATTCCTCTACCTTTGACCTGCTGATGCTGGCAGCTATAAATGGTTAAAATACGAGTGAGTGTACGAGTTCTTAAGTGCATTTCCGATTGCCAAAGGTGTGCTTTTCGAAGAGATGCAGCAGCTCTTTTTACTTGAAGTGGGTACAAGAATTTCCTATAAAGCACAGGCGCTGGCAGGTCAGTCTCAACTTTATGCTAGCTATAAAAATCTTATTTAAGTTGAGGGTTTTTTGATTATATTGTTACAATATTTTATTACAATTATTGCAAACCTCCTTTCCAAGGAGAGGCCTATGTCCAGCAGTGGACTATTAAAGGCTGTTGATGATGATGATTGATGAAAAAAAAAACTAAGGCACATCCTAGGGTTCACTTTTGATCAATAAACTTAGTTTTCATTTATTAAACTTATTTCCTTAGGTTTGTGTTACGTACATTTCGGACTCTTAATAACTTACTCAAGCTATTGATAGACTTGGAAAATAATCGATATTTTAATTCTTTATGGGATATTTTGTACATGAATATGTGAGGTTATTATTTTAGATTAGTCGGACCGTGTGCTCAGTTTTCCCAATAATATAAACAATAACAAAAATCACGAGCAGATAGAGTAACGCATCAAAATTGTAGTCCACGCGAACTGAAGAAAAAAATATGCAATGATGTCGTAAGAGCCGACTAAGGGAGCAAACTACGCAGGACAACATCTCTCAAAGAGAAGCAAAACTTGAAACAAACCCTATACCAACAAGTCTGGCCAGCATGGCATAGTAGGTCAAAACCTCCTTTCTAAGGAGAGGCCTATGTCCAACAGTAGTAGACTATCAAAGACTGTTGATGAGTTATAATTAATACGGAGGACTATTCGTAGTTTGTTTCTAATTTGATACCTAAATATTTAAGAGTTTGTTGGAAGAACTTTTTCAAGGCTTACAAAATAATCACCATAGGAAATGATCATATAAATGATCGTTTAACACTGTCATGTGGTTTCTGAGAAGCCAATCAACGTAAAAATTAACTAATCGTATGTAAAATCTCATGTCAAGTAACTATATAGAGTTGTTTAAATTATGTTTAGGTGTTTTGATTTCATAATTGGATCAGATCCAATTTAACTGCTTCATCAAACAATATTTTGATCAGCCTTTCAGAAACCGTGTGTGTTCATTATTGAGCAGTTAGAAGCTCGCATCCTATATTTTCTATTTTACTAAGGACAATTCTTTTCGTTTCTATGAATATATGCACTTTTATTGCACATACTCCTGACAAAGTTACCCACAATAGGTATCTACTTCATTTATACTTATTGTCTTCTACCGGTGCTGTAACCTTCGTAAATAATTCAAGTATCTTTAAAAATATTTCACAGCATAACATCTACGTAAATGTGTCATTCCTTTACAAGTAAGGCTTTGCGGCCACATGTTACACTATATATGGCACTTGTAGTCTTAGAATTTGCGTCATTTAAACTATAAACAGTTTTTAATTACGGTTATTAAAATATCCATTGATATTTTGGCGGGAATGGCGACTTGAATCGACTGGTCGAAATGACGTTAATAGTAGGTTGTTTTCTTTAGCATTAGGTTTTATAAGCCATATTAGTTTCTGGTACACGACATATGTTTTAACTTCGATATGCGAGCTGACTGATGGTGATAGTGTGGTCTCTCTCGAACATTACTACACGTTAAAAAAATGGTTTTCTTTGGGTAACGGACACAACGATAATTATAACAGTAATCTGAAGTCGGGATGAATACACTCAATTGCTGCTCGAATCTGAAAGCTGAAGCTGAAAGATATGTGTCTGTTTATTCATAGGGCCATCAGAAAAAGGATAGGTACGGGGGAGTGATCTTTGAAGGCAGGCTGAGGGGCTAAACATTGAAGTGTGCGGTCTCCATGTTTGCAAACTTAATTTTCTTATTTGTTTTTTTGTTTCCTTGTTCAGTACATTTGTTGTAGCTTCTTCTTCTTCAAATAAAGGTACAAGGTACGTGACAAAAACTTATTCAATCAACATTAGAACTTTGTCTGTGATATTTCCGTGATTCAGATTAGGTACAGTTTGACATACCAGGGACTTCCTTTCTAGGGTATACCTGGTTCCCCGGCTATTAGTACCCGGCGAAGGCATGCGGTTTTAGTCGGTTCGAGTCCGACATGCCACCGACAGGTGGTATCCGAGGGGATTTCCGCACGGAAAAAAAAAAAAAAAAAAAAAAAAAAGGTACAGTTTGACAAGGTAGAAAACAAAAACGGCTCGAGGGCTCTATGGACCCCCGGACGGAACGTAGTTCTGCAAGAATTGTAGAATAGAAGTCTTGTTACAAATTTTTCGGTCTCGCTCCCATCTGCTCAGAACGTGTACCGACCGACCGAATTTTCGGTGTCATTTTTAATATCACACTGTACTCTTGAACACTCGCTGTATAAATCTATTAATAACAATCGCGTGTTAGCTATAAAGCATTACTATCTATATAAATCTATCAGCTACCAATATTTATAAAATAAATCTGTATAAACATCGACTATTTTGTCATGTCTCTTTTGACTAGCGCATGTCATCAGTTGGTCACCATTTGATTCTATTCAAATATTTAAACTCTGGTTCTTGGACTTGTTAGAGCCATCTATCGACAAATTTCAAGGCCATACTTTTAAATTTGTGTCTTCACAGCAAACAAAACTAAACTAAAATTTAGTTTGTTGTGAAGAAACAAATTTAATTTTAAACATAGAATACTCAGACTCTGTAAGATACTCAAATTTGAAATATCTAAGCTCTACAGTTATTTTCTTTTACAGAATAACAAGAATGGGCGATTGTGACACCTCTAGCGGATGGATATTCGAATATACTGTGGATCGCCGAGCACCGCGCCACCTCGACCGACACGCAAACGCTCTCAGATACCAGGCTCTCAGATCTGTACAGGAGTTATTCAAATTGTTCGTTATATACCCGTCTCACTCGCGCTATCGACGACCTCGCTTCGATGGAACGAGGCAAATGGCCTTCTCAACTTCCTATGCAATCAAAATAGAATCCTATGCTCATTAATATAAAGCCGCATATACAGTACCGATCCGTCCCCTTCAACGTTAATGCTCCCCATCCTCGAAACATCTATTGTGCTACGAAAATGGAAATGTTTTCTGAAACACGTGAAGAATTTCTGTTTTATTTCGTTGACTTATGCTGTCCTAATAACTTCGATGCTTACGGATCATTTTGGCGTGGTTGACATTCCTTTTTTGTACTGGACTGGAAGAATGCTTTGAACAATCCGAGATCGGAGCGGTCGTGCCTTGCCTGATAAAAAATAAAGTGGAGGAAATTATTAAACGGAATGCTTGGCTTGGCGAGTGCTTCGTCGCCGTCGTCGGTTTTATCACCGTGTTGTCAGCTAACGCCAACAACATAAATGCCTCCTATCTCGTTCCCACTATTCGGCCTTAACGTTTATTTACTCTTTTCGATCGTCGGCGTCGTTCCGAATAAATAATGAATGACGTAACGTAAATATATGCAAATTAACTTCGAACACATTTGAGATATGTGATTGTTTCATTTATTCTTTTGACATATTACGTTTAATTATGATCTGTGATTTGCATTTATATAGAATTTTGTTGATCACGTCATAGCATAATGATGTAATGATATTATGGACATAAAATAGGTGAAATACAAAAAAAATACAGGAATCGTCTTTTGTGGACATAGGAATAAAAACTTTTTTTTAGTATCATTTATTCTTTTGAGATCGAGTAAGTGTAAAGTATCAACGCCTGTGTGCTGTGTGAGCTAGCTACATGGTAGTAGAGAACGCTGCTGTACGACCCCTTTTCCCGTGGAGAAGATGGCGCGTGCTGCGACATAGCGGCCGATATCACCAGGCAGTCATAGCTGTATGAAGCAACTCACAAAGAGCGTTCCCTCTCCGTACACACACAATATTTTTATATCCATTTTAGAATGAATTTGGTTTAAGACTCTATCTCCTTTAATTAAGATATAATTTGGTTTGACCGGCCATTGTTCATATGTGGTTGGAATCAAGGCATTTCAAGGAGAATGTGTAGGGTAACCGCTTTTGCAATATGTTCCCCGGGTGATCAGCGCGAACTGCGCAACTCCCCAGACACACGACGTCACTAGCGATCTGTGCACACACAACATACATACATACATACAAGCACCGCAACGCTCCTAGTTTAAGCGAGGTATTATGCAAATTAGACCTGTGCAACTAGTGTGGGGCTACTCGATTTAGATAATATAAAGTACAAAACACAACGTGTTTTAGTACAAATTATTTGGATATCGTATTTATCACAAAAATTTCTAAAACAGGTACATCATTGATAAGATAAATGTGATATTAATCTCAGGTATTTAGGGTACCTTGATTAAACCAGAAGTAAGGTTTTGTAAGGTTACTAACCCATTACACTGGAAACTGAAGCCACAAAGTATCACCTATTTAACCGCCATTTAAGTTATAACCGAAACATTACCCTACACTAACAATATTAATATGTATATAATTCTACTTTTAAAAGAGCTTTTCATTGTTAAACATCATCTACATATTGAAAACGACTTTGCAGTGTTGGTAAGTGAGATAACGCAGGTCTTTGTTACATGGAGATTAAACATTGATAGATCTCTTTGTATTATCTGTGCTCCTAGTACGCTGCGTACAGTGCGGCAGGTTGCGACCGCATCGCAGACCGCGGCGGCAGCGGCTGTTGCCGTCGAGAGTTGGGAGTAGAGCGCGGCTACAAGGCGCCGAACGGGCCGCGCTCGTGCCGTGGGAGGGTCCCCTGACAACAGGGCCCCTCACCCGTCGACCCTTGTCGCTGTGCAAACATTGTTAAGTACCTACACATTACCTACGTTTCTCGGTTTGCTGATGTTTACTGCTGTTAATAATGCTAATAAAACAAACGAGGCACAAGATAATTTAGTGACCATATGAAACTTGTTTCTACTAACCACGTGATAATGAAGCGAAAACAAACACATTAACAGTTTGTTTAATGTGTACTATTAGTTTCAAACATTTATTTTACTTACAACAGAATGTAAAAAATGTTCAAAAGAACCATTACAATTTTTATTTTAATATAGCCGTGATAGATTGCGTCACAAATTTCTCAATTCAATTTGAAATTGATTCGCTTAGCATAAAGGTTAACGACTGCGAGAAATTCTTTTGAAATAGATGTTTTATATTTGTGATATTTTTTACATTTTTAATATTTATTACGTAAGACTATTAGATTTCTACAAACCGAACACAGTTAAATGACCAATAATAATTATAATAGACGCATTACAACTTGTTTTCACATTGGGCTTTGTATATTATGGGGCGATAGCTATATGGGGTTGGACATGAAATAAAATAAAAAAATATATTTGTTAGGTTGTAAAATTAAAGCCTCTAAGATTCAAGGAAATGATTGTAACATCTATACAAAAAATAAAATTGGGGTGTCTGTTTGTAATATTAAAATAACCGCTTTTTACTAAATGCATATGTATGTTTACACGGTACATATGCCAAAATATCATTTTTTACAATTTTTGTCTGTCTGTCTGTCTGTTTGTTCTGGTAATCTCTGGAACGGCTGGACCGATTTCGACGGGACTTTCACTGGCAGATAGCTGATGACATAAGGAGTAACTTAGGCTACTTTTTTAGACTAGCTTCGCCCCGCGGCGTTGCCCGCGTACAGTGTCTGTTTATGAGCGTATAATTTTAATTAGCATATTTATCTCAAATGGTATTTTAAATTTCTTCATAGTCTGCAATGGTTCTCTGTTCCTTTACATAAAATTAATTGGTTATAATTTTGAGGTTGTTATTTCACCTAGGTATAAACATACATACGATATAAAACGGCTGAAAGGGAGAACATACCTATAATTTAGACGTGCACTTCATAAAATAATAATGTTTGCCCGTAAGAGAAGCCTTTTATCGTGTGGAAAACTCCACGCGTCATAACCTAACCGGGGCTAGTGGTACCTATCTATAGAAATAGATTGGACTAAAATTGTACGAAAATTCCATAAATGGAAAATGGCTGTGTATTATTATTTAGTAATTACCTATTTAGTATGCACTGTTTTCTCAAAACTTTGCAGACAGCCTCAGTTTTCACAGATTGGTTCGTATAATTAAACTTTTCTATTTCTATGAGGAATATCATCAACAGCCTCTAACAGTCCACTCCTGGACATAGGCCTCTCCTTAGAAAGGAGGTTTTGCCCGACTATACCACGCTGGCCAGACGGGTTGGTATAGGGTTCCTGTCAAGTTTTTCTTCTCTTAGCAGTGCTGTTGGCCTGCGTAGTTTGCTCTCTTAGTCGGCTCTTACGACACCCACGGCATAAATAGGGGTAGTGACACTCCTTATATTCAATCCATCACCATACGGATGGAAAAGGAATCTAAACAAGTAAAAGCCAATTTTCTGTCTGTTATTTTCAGTTACGATCTTTAAAATGACAGGACCGGACCTTCGAAATAACTAGGTTTGACAAGTGGTGTATATTATCCTGTTTTTGTGCAACAACATCTCATTTAAGCCCATTCAGCAGTTCTGCGATCCAGCTGTTTAGTCAGCTGGATCTTATTAGCATGAAGGTTTAAATGTTTTATTTTAATTCATTGAAGAATACTGTGATGAAGATTTGGCTATGCTGCTGAACTAACCCTAACATCTTCTATAGTTTCTACCCAGCTTTTAGGGCGATGATAGGTAAGGTCCCATTTATCACGACCATCGCTCAACTGCTTGATTGAATTTTCAATAAAAGACAAACAGATTTAAAAGTTCCACCATTCACTTCCTGAATCCATCAACAGACTGTATTTTATGTATACTATATTGACAATAGCTGACCCGGCAAACGTTGTTTTGCCAATATACATTTTTCAAATTTCTTTGTCAAAAAAAAAAAAATATGGGTATGAAAAATAGATGTTGGCCGATTCTCAGATCTACCTGATATGCACACAAAATTTTACGAAAATCGGTCGAACCGTTTCAGAGGAGTTCAACTTCTAACACCGTGACACGAGAATTTTATATTAGATTAGAAGAACCTAGAGTGGTTTATTAGTAATAACTGAATACTTTCATTAATCATCTCCTGGTTCTTGTCTGAACCACATATAAATACAATATTTCATATCGATATTACAGTTAGAAAAAACCTTTGAAATTACTTACAATATTCGTTTAGGTACATTTTAGTTACAAGTCAAGTTTACCATTTCCACGCTTTTTACGGAAGTCAGTATCAGAGAGAACAAAAACAGTACTATATTTTTAATGATTTTCAGACGAAAGCCGTATTTAATAAAAGAACTATGGATGGATGAAACTCTATCCATTAAAGAAGGCCGTTCAATTACTGCATTATCACAGGCAATGTTAAAAATGAAAACCAAGTTTACAGTTTATGAAATCACAAAAAATAATATCTAAGTGTAATGTGTACTAAGACGTTTTTATTAAATCACAAGATGATCTTGCAAACGGATGATTAATAAAATATTGAATGACTTCCCGCGCCTGTGGCGATCGGGTATCTTCGTATGCGACCGGAAACCGCCGTATATTTACATCTCTTTTTCAATAGTGTGTTAGATAGAGACAGAGTGATCGTAAAATTCGACAGCTGCGGTACGTAGTGTGGTTATCTGGATTATTGATGGATGTTATTTTTAATGCAAACATATACATATTAACACTCAAGGTGACATTTTGTATTTTAGTATGTATTAAGTAGGAAGGTATATAATAAACAAATAATTGCGATAAATATATATATCAACTAAAAAAACATTTATTTAATGTTTCTGGGGTTCAAAATTTTGAAATTAGTTAAAAATATTCGTAGCTTAATAATTCACTAGAAAAGACTATTATTATTCAAGTCTAAAGACTTTTAGGTTTCACCAACAAATTAAATTAAAACGGTAAATATGCACAAAGTTACAATAAGAACAATAAAAGTTTACCTACCAAATAAAATAT